CCGGTTTGAAGCTAAAGGGTAGTCACACAAAATATTGATTTTGATTTAGACTTTACTTCTGTTCACTCACTTTGTATTTTGTAAAATGATAAAAACAAACAAATATATATTTTTGAAAGCATTCTTACTTTACAACATTTTTTTCACACCTGCCTAAAACTTCTGCACAGTATATGTACTGTATATATTAACCCTATACAGTTTCCAAAATATAAGCCTGGTTACAAACAGCAGGTATTGGTGATAGCACAAAAGTCCATATCCCAGATGGACCTATAGTTAATATAAAATTGGAGTCCCTCTGGTAAGTGCTAGAACATCTAGTAAACATGCTAGGTCCTGCTGATGATGAGGACACATTAAAAATAGGAACATGAGCGAACACAATCATGACTGCTGAGTAGTAGAGGGACTTGGCATTCAAAAACAACTGTAGCCTTACCCAAATTATGATTTAGGAACAAATTCAGCTGGAAATAGGCAAGGCCTGTGACTGAACATAAACCAAATCACCATTAACAATATAAAATTACATGGCAGTCACAGGTATGCTGTAAGCCACTAGACTCACCGTAGCCTGAATGCCTGACCTTATCAAAAGTGCCAGACAGGGATTTGACTACCCCAACAAACCCACTTAGATCATACAAATTGTACAAACACTGGCAAGTTACCAATTACAAGTAAAGCTGTGACGGACAGAATTTTGGAAGGGAAGGGCAGGGAATGCATTGGAAAGCCAATGTCTTGAAAATCAGCACCTGTACCCAGCATGACTTGAATAGAGAATTATGGAGTGAGTGCTTTCCCCCATAGTTCTCTTTAGGGTCATGGGAGGACATATACTAACCTCCTCCCGTGACCCAGAGCTCAGTATATGGCCGGCTATTGCCCATGATATACTGAGAGCGCCGCAGCCTGGACAGATCCTGACAATACTGTCGGGATCCACCCAGCTGCGTTAGTGACAGCTGGCTCTGCCTATCTAGAGGCAGAGCCACCTGTTCCCGGCCCCCGCCCTTGTCCGTTCCTCCACTCAGCGCTGGAGGATTGGAGGGGGGGAATCCCTGCAGGGAGCAGTGACCGACAGTCTCTGCTCACTGTTGGTAGACGATCGGGAAGTGAGCGGATCGATGCATGTGTCTGCTTACTTCCCAATCGATAGAGCCGACCTGTGACCGCTTCTTTGTCACAGGTCGGCTCTAACTGAGGATGAGTGGAAATCACTCACTTCAAAGTTCTCTTTTAAATAGACAACCTAACCCACCCCAACACCACATAACCCAATAAAGCATATCTTTAACCAGAACATCTTTAACTTTTAGCATTTACACAACCTTTAATGTGCCATGCTCCCAGCAGTCAAAGGAGACAACATAATTGGGCCTAAATATGTTTAAAGGGCCATATAGTGCACCAGGATAAAGTACTACAGGTGTACTGTTTTAAAAAAAATAATAATTATATATAATAATTGTTCTACAATGTGTGTGTGTGTGTGTATGTGTATAAGCGAAAACTACCAGGAACTCAATGTGATTCAGATAATTTCTATACTTTCGTTTGGTTTAGTATAATAATACAATACTGTTGGATAAACGCAATGTTTCATGGTTTTAATCATGGCTTTTTTGTATGAAGGCTACAGTATGCTATATAAAGTAAATTGAGATCAATGAGTTTTGTAGGGCTGCAACAACTAATCTATTAAATCGATAATGAGATTTGTTGGCAACGATTCTCATTATCGATTAGTTGTTCGATTAGTTGCCACCGCTCTGCTTCTCTTTTCTCCTCAATGCTGGTGCTGGCTGTAGGGTTCTGTGTCCCTTTCATTCCCCGTTGCTCTCACCGGCATGAGAGATCGCTAGGTCTCTGCATTACCTAGTTGGTGCTGCCGTCCGTCTGTCCTCCGCTGCTGCCCCCATTCCTGCGCTGCTGCCCCTGTACCTCTGCTGCTCCCCCAATGCCCCCACTTCTGCCGGCGGTAGAAAGACGGTGTCAAAGCTTCCTTCAGTGGCTGAGAGCAATATCCAGCCTGCTATTGCCTATTTTAAATTGCAATAGACAGTTTCCTCCTCTGCTGATTGACAGCAGGCAGTGAGCGGGTACAATAGCCAGCCTGCTATTCACTATTGCAATAAAAAAAAAACAGGCTGGCTATTGCTCCAAGTCACTGCCTGCTGTGTTGACATTCAGCTGCCGCAGCTGAATGTCAACACAGAGAGCTGAATCCTGTAAAGTGGAAAGGTGACACTAGGGGTCTGAAAGACCCCCAATGTCACCTTGAAGAGAAACTGTCGCCTCCAATGTGCCATCAGATAGGGGGCTTATGAGCCCACCCAAGTCATAGCAATAAGGTAAAAAATAAAATTAAGAATCCCCCCCACCCCCCCCAAAAAAAATATTGAAAAGTCCCCCAACCCTGCATACGTGTGTATACTAATGGAAACACAAGTCGGGTGCACCTTCATAGAAAAACGACGATTGCTATACACATGTCAGGTATCGCTGTGTGCGCCGGAGTGAGAGCAATAATTCTTTGGCCAATATTCATGGCTAACTCTAAACTGATGACTGAGCTTTTATAATAAATAAATATATATATTTATATAGTGGCAAGCGTAATTTTTGGTTTCGGCCTGAAAATTCTGCTCCGGAATGTGCGTTGTGGTGCCATTAATTTCAATGGCATTCCAAATGCACCTCCCAGCCTTGCGCTTGCCCAGCCGCAGTGTGATCACCTGCAATGGAACGTGAATGGAACCTGCAATGGAGCGTTCGGTACTGCAATACCATGAATTCCAGTGCGGTGCGAGTGCAAAAAATGTGCATATTGTATTATTGTGAAGTAAACGTTGTGTTTGTAACACTACATTTGTGTATTTTATTGTAAATTTAAGGATGGTATTTTTTTAAATCCGATTTAATCAAATAATTGAAAAAAATAATCGGCTAACTTATCGAGTATGAAAATAATCATTAGTTGCAGCCCCATAGTTTTACTACTGCTGGAGTATGTTCGGCCATGGATATCTGATTCCCTAGTTCCTTTTATATCTGAGGTGAGACAGCTCTATACAGATAAGGTTGCAAACTATTTGGTTACAGGGAATTTAGGAACTATATTGTTGCTGGTTGCTTAATATTTTTCAGGTATTTTAGTGATTTTCTAGGTTTGTCCCTGAAAAAATTTCTGTTTTTCAGCACTGCAAAACAAAACAAGCAAAACAGATGACAAACACACTCATTCAACATGCTGGCTCTCTGTCTGCAGCCCACTTTGTCATGAGATGTGTCTGCCACCTTTTCAGCACCTGTACACTTTGCAGAGTGGCATTGGTGTGCCAGGCATTAAAATGCTCTCTGCACCACCCACCACTGAAACAAATAGTGATGTCTGGTGAAGTGATCTCACGTGCAAAAAGTTTAGTCCTGGCCTTGTTTGGGAGAAAGAGCAGCACAAGAAGAGTTTCATCAGGAAAGGGAGGTTAAATATCACTGCCACCGCCGCACTGACCATCAGGGGAAGGGGGTTAAATAGCATGGCTACTTGGCACCAGTGCAAATTGGGATGGGGTGTTAAACGGCGCTGCCACTGACACCAATGCTGGGGGTTATTATTACATTCACTGACACTAATGTGGGGGCTTATTATTGTGTACACTGACACCGATACCGTGGTTATTATTGTGCCCACTGATTCCAATGCTAGGGGTTTTTTTTTTTTTTAATGATGAGGACTTCAACTTTCTCTTCAGTGTGACTGGCAGAATTTTGAAAAACAAAATGTAGTAGAACTGAATTTTTAAGGCCCTCTATTATTTTCAAGTTGACCACCACCACTGAAGGTCGTTCGTCATGAGTTAGAAATAGTGAAGTCACAAATTAGATTTGCAGACTGAACATCTTTTTAACTAGTGCCTTTGACATTTTCCATCATTTAAGCATAGTAGAGAAATAGTTTGATCCAAGGAACTGATCCACCTTTTCCTGTGATGTACCAACAAAGATATAACATTTTCCCTGGGGCTACATTTGGTCGTTGCCCAATGTTTTGTTTAACCTCCTTGTAGGCCGTAACTCAAGAGCTTGGACTTGATAGACATGATAGAATGTTGGCAACTACAATACTATGTATAGGAAAGTCATGGTAGACAAAAGTGTGCGAGGGTGCAAATAATTGAAATCTGGAATTTCTCAAGGTGCCATACATCCCACTTCACCACTCTTGTACTAGTGCTGTCCATGGGCCACAGTTCCCCCTTTGAAAGCCAAGTTAGGTTAGTATCTGGAGCAACGTCTTGATCCTGTCAGGTCTTTGCTGAAAACAATTTCTCAGTATGTTATTAACATTTAGCATTCCTTGTGAACTCATTATTTCTGTGATTCTAGACAGCTCTGACAGGTGTTCCATCACAAGGCTTTCTGTATTCCAAGCACTCCTCTGCAAAAAGAATTGCAAAAAGAATGAGCCTGTTTTACCTACCTGACAGTTGCAATCCTTCATAAAGATTTATTGAGCAAATTACATCTGCTTGATTTTATGTACATGTTGGTGTTCTGTAAATTATGTATAATGTATTCCTTTTCTTAATTCTTTATGTGGCAGTTCTGGGTCTACAATAAAATGAGAGGAGAAAACCATCAGGCTAAAACTATATTTAAAAAAATGAATATAATTGTATGTAGAGCATTATCAGGGGCCATACAATTAGAATAAAGGCAAACAAGGTTGCCTTGCATATACTGGCAGTAAAAGGGACTGTGAGAGGTTGAGAAGGAGGTCTAGGAGAGGAAGGCAAACATCCAGTTACTTAGATTTATTACCAGTATTGATTTAAATAGTCACTTTTAGTGTTCAAATAATGATACATAGGCGTTCATGTTCCATTCATCAATCTATTTTTCTCATTCATTGTACATGCCAGCGTGTTTCATAGTAAGTAAAGCTTTGTCACATCACTAAACTGAACATTTTTTTACATGCTTTGTTGCAGGTTAACTAAGCCCTTATCGTTTGCTGACTGCGTCGGGAATGAGCTGCCTTGGGGATGGGAAACTTCCTATGATCCACAAATTGGAGTCTACTTTATCAATCATATTAATCGTAAGTTGTTGATTTAGGTTCTATGCATTGATTGTTGTGTACACACACACATACACAAACAGATATGAAAAAGTATGCTATGTATTCTAAAACCATCAACCATGTGGGGAAAAGCTGTTTTTCATTTTCATTATCTGTCTTATCTCAGAAACTTCATGTGCTTTTGAGGGGTCATACTTCTAGGTATAAGGATTACTAGGGATGCACCGATACTAGTATTGGTGCCGATACCGAGTATTTGGGCGAGTACTCGTACTTGCCCAAATGCTCCGATTCTTACCCCCGATACCGGAACTTCCAGTCAGAGGGAGATTTCCTCTGACTGGCAATGCCGTGAGGGAACATGGATCCAGCTTCCCAGGCAATCTTTTCACCAATGCTCACTTACCATGCCTTGTTCTGCATTGTGTTTCAGTGTTGAGGCAGACATATTGGTAGAGGCAATGCTGTGATTCCTTATGTCAGAGCTGCTTCCCTGATGACTGGAAGGCTATTCAGGAAACAGTAGAAGAGGTGTAGGAGGCACAGAATAATTGAAGAGGAAAAAGGATGATGCGTGCACCGCACATTTCCTCTCCAGCAAGCAGTACCTTAGTGGCATCACTAAATCTCAGTCCAAAATCCCATAAGACTAGCAGTCAGAGGTACAGAACCTTTCATCTCACACCACAGATATCAGCTATGAGGTTATAGGTGCAGGAGTGCATAGATACACTCGAATAACAGAAAGAACTTTGCTCCTTTTCAGGAGTAATTTCAGGCAAAAGTACATTTTTGAATCTACTTGAAAAATGAAGATTTGCTGTGTGGAGTAAAAATGTATGATCATAGCATTGATAGTGTTGCTATTGGTGTTGGTCAGCTAACATTAGTGTGTGTTTTTTTTTGTTGTTTTTTTTTTTTTACTGTATTATGACCCAGTCTAATTGGCAATATTACAGAGTGACCTCAAGTATCAGTATGGCAGATGCTGGAGCTTAGAGAAGCAGCTTGAGTTGTATCATCCTCTCTTATTATCCGCACTCCATGTCAGGCCTCTCAGAATATTAACCACTTTAATTCACAGCTCTACTTAATCAGTCTATTGTGCAAACAGCACAGTGGGGCTGGAATGATGTAAATGTTCCCAACAATTATAAAACAAATTCCCCTTTGTCACTGTACTGCCATGCTATAAATTGAATATGCAAAGCAAACAACTCAGACGGGTAATTAACTGCAGTACTGTATTGTATTTGTAAAATAGATGAAATTAGTTACTTATTAGCAGTTGCAACAAAAGGCTGTGAAACAGCTGGTCAAGCTAATCTTCCTTTCTGGCAAGTGTGTACATATGTTGCATTATAGTTTCATAATGGCTGTGCCTTTTGCTAATTAGACTTTGGATATAATGACCCTATCAGGCAGCTTGGACACAAGCTTTTCTCATAAGGCCTAGTGAAGTGATTTGCTGAAACAGGAGCAAGTAAACTATACATTACAATATATTATGTATACAAATAAAAATCTGTTCTGTATTTCTCATTACTTACTTTCATGTTTCATTTGTATAATCTATTCCGTCTGTCAATAGTGCAACATAGAACTATCATTTTATCTTGCTGGATGGATTTTTAAATTCTGTTTCTCAATCATGAACCTCAAATATCTCCCTGCAGGTTACATTAGAGGAATTCTCTCGATCCTGTCACGGCTCTCTGCCGTGACGGGAGGGGCTGGATTCCCCCTCCCCGATCCGCCGGCGCTGACTGGCGAAACGGACGGGGAGGGGGCGGGTACAGCTGGCTCTGCCTTTAGATAGGCAGAGCCAGCTGTCAGTCACGCAGCTGGGCGGATCCCAGCACAATTGTCGGGATCCGCTTCAGCTGTGGCATCTCAGTATACGGCGAGCAGCAGCTCGCGGTATACTGCGGCGTCTCAGTATACCTCGAGCTACAGCTCTCTGTATACTGAGCCTAGGGTGACGGGAGGACGCTAGTTTGTGTCCTCCCGTTACCCTAAGGAGAACTATGGGGAAAAGACTTAACCCCATAGTTCCCCTTTAAAGTGACACTAAACTCAGGAGTTAAATCTTAAAAATGCAATCAAGTACCCCAACTATTAACAAAAATGTATCTTAATTGTGTATCGCTCGGCTGTAGATCCTCAAATCATCTCAGAATTGGTGCTGACACTGTCCTTCCTTCTGGAGGGTGGCTACTTCTGTTCCTCATGGTCCCTGTGTGTGTTGTAAAGTAGCCATTGCTCCAAGCTCACTCCTGTGATGGACTACAATCTCAATACAAATTAGTGAACTAAACGTGAGATTGTAGTCCATGGAGCTTCCAGAAGGAAGGACAGTGTTGGCACCAATTCAGAGATGATTTGAGGATCTGCAGCCGAGTGATACACAAATAAGATACATTTTTTTTAATGGTTAAGGTACGTAAATGCATTTTTAAGATTTAACTCCTGTTTTGTGTCACTTTAAAGGGTCAGTTCAGTACCATCATGAAGAAACTATACAACTGTATAAATAACTATATAATACATCTTAGCACTATAATCCCAAGAGTTTCCTTCTTTGAGGCACTGAATGAAATTGATCATTCTTCAAATGTTTGGTTGGTGGTGAATATCAGATGAAATATAAAATAGTTAAAATGTTAGAACATTTCCGCTGCGAGAATTGGCAACACCCAAAACCCCCAGAAGAATAGGATCAGAGTTAGGAATTGTGGCGGGGTTAATTGTTGGTTAATTCGCCTTAATCAACGATTCGTTGGGAATCGTTGGTTACTTCGCCTGCATTCTTGGCGTTAAATCCACAAAGAATGAGGACGGGTTTGGGAAGCTGTGGGTGGCAACTGAAAAAAAAATAATGGTTTTGCAAATCACCAAATATGCTGAGTTTCCAGCAAGCTAAATGTCATTCAGTTAGGATTTACATCTGCATGAAGTTTGTGTTTGTTACATAGTAGGTAAGGTTGAATAAAGACACCAGTCCATCCAGTTCAACCTATGCATATCTGTGTGTGTCTGTATATACTTGGCTGTAGTAGTTCCTGTATCCTTGTATATTTAGGGAATTAAGGAACTCATATAAAAGTATTGATACATTCAAGAAACTATCAGTGGATGCCACTGACTGTGGTAGGGACTTCCACATTTTTACTACTCACACAGTAAAAAACCTCATGTGCAATCTAAGATTAAATTGCCTCTCTTCTCTTCTAATCTCTTGTTGTCATCAATAGAGTTCTTGGTATAAACATCTTATACCGAATATTGTGGTCCCCATTAAGGATTTTGAAAATTGCATTAGGGTCCCCTCTTAAGCATATATTTTCTAAGGAAAACAAGTTTAATTTCTGGAGCTGATCATATTGTAAACTGGTCTTTTGTTGGGTTTTTTCTTTTTTTTCTATTTACTAAAAAATCTTTGTTTAATGGGTAAAAATATAACACAGGGGTACACCCATGACACAGGATTCACATAGCATTGTGGGCTTTCTAAAGAGAGAGCACATCAGAGACTGTTTGCTTTTAGGCTTTTTTTGTGTGATCGAAACTTTGGGCTGAACTGTCTGTACACTGCTGATGGAAGGTAAATTAGTCACTGCCCTAACTCAGGTGTGTGTGTTTGTTTGTAAACTTCAGCTACATGGCTCTATAAACACTATTTTCCAGTGATTGCTGATAGCCTGGAATACATGGCAAAGAAGTGTAAATCTCCACCTGCTGTCTCAAATGAGAATACAAAATATTAATGTGAGATATGTCATGTTTACCTGTCTAAAAGATATACAAAAAATATACAACACACGTTCTCTTTGAAACAGCATTACATTGTTGAAAAAAGTTTCTAGTAGGCCTTTTTTAATTTTTGTTATACAGGCAAGCTTGGTGGATGTGG